CTCCCCTTTTGCCCACCGTATCCCCCCCCCCCCAGCCGAAAGAGCGCGATAAAGAGAGCAAGTCAGGGAGGCAGGGGGCAACGTCTTTCGCCCTCCTCCTTCTTTCTTCTCTTTCCCTTTCCATCTCTTGCCGTACTTCCCTCCCCCCCCCCCTCTTCAGCCTAAAACACAAAATATCGCCAATAAAGTTGCTCCCCCCTCCTCCTTCCGCATGTTGGTATGGCTACTCCCCCCCCCCCCCCCTTATCATTGGCATGGGCCAGGCCCGAGGACCTGGCGTGTACCGGATCTGCGGGCGTATGCTTTGCGCTTGGTGCGCAGGGGGAGGGGACCAGGGCCGGAGGCGGGGGCCAGAACACGATCATCGGTCACCGAGGAAATACCCGGCTCGTATAAATTGTCAAAAATACAAGGAAACCTTGTCGGGGGCGTAGCTCAAATGGTAGAGCGGCCGCTTAGCATGCGGCAGGCAGGGGGATCGATACCCTCCGCCTCCAGATTTCCTTTTGCTCCCCCTCGAAGGGGGGACGCGGTTGCACACTGGCTCTCCCTGCCGCGCGCGCGCGCGCACGCCCCTGTGGCGACTCCTTGCGATGAGAGGGTCTCCTGCTGCCCCGGCGGCGGCCACAGCCGGAGAGCGGAGCCAGGGGCCCGGCCTCGTCGAAGGGAGGGAGGCCCAGCCCTGGCGGCGGGCCGCCATGGTCGGTCCCCCGTGCCCGTGTCCGCGCGTCAGTGGTCAGACCTAATCCACGCCAGCGGGACCAAGGCTGGACAGGCGACCCCCCCCCCCCCCCCAGGAGAGCACTCGGCCCCTCCTTCGCCGGAGGATCGAGCCTGCGGAGGGCCGGCCCCGTGCGCTGGCATGCGCATGTGTGTACGGTGGTAGAGCAGTTCCCTCGGGGCTTTCCGCTGGCAGCACATGCGAGGGGAGGGTTAATTTCCCTTCCTGGCTCATGCGGGGAGAGGGGCGCGCACTTTCCGTTTTGGGGACCAGGCGGCAGGCCTCGTGCCCGCCTCCATCCCGGCCCGGGCTCCGGAGGCAGTTTTTTCTTTGTCTCGAGTCCAAGCCCCCCGGGGAGGAGGGGGGCGACACAGCCATCCGGGGTGATCGGCCGTCTTCCCTCTTGGCCCTGGCAGATGCCGCACATGCCCGGGCCCTTTGCCCTGGAATGCCGGGCTTCCTCCCTGCTCTCGTGCCTCAGGCTCCCCGGGGCGCGGAGACAATGCCTCCGCCCCGACAAGCAGGGCATGCTCTCTGTCCGGCCACTGTGGGGGGATATACTCTGCCGCAGGGGCATGGAGCTGGCTTCCCCCCCCCCCCCCTCTCCCCCTGTTTCCCTCTCTCGCGCCCCTGGCGTGCGCGCGGCACAAGCAGCACCTGAAAGTGGAATGGCCGAGGCTCGAGCCGGCTGTGGCTTCATGGTTGTGTCTTGACGCGGTCCGCGGCAAGGGACCGTGGGCGGGGCTCCCCAATAACAAAGGCCAGGCCAAGCCGGCTGCCAGACGGTCCTCCCCCCCCCCGCCCTTCCCCTGCAGCAGGGCGACGGGCTGATGGCCTGATGCGAGGATGATCGGCGCCCCAGACAGGTCCCCCTTCCCCGGCCCCCCCTGGCTTGCGGGGGCCTTGACCACCACCCCCAGTGCCTGGCCACGGGTTCCGCCCTCCAGTTCCAGCTCCCTCCCTTGAACCAGAGATAAGGAGCTAAATGCTCCGTCCCCCCCCCCCCCCCCCC